GGGTTGGGGTGGGGGGAAAGAGCCCAGGTGATGGCCGTATAGGACCATGGGCCATGGATATCCAGAAAGGATACCTGCAAGGTGAATATGGGGTCACTGAAGGAGCCCATTAAGGCGGGGCAAACGGTATGGTACAGATTTTAAAGGAGCCATGTGGGTAAAGGCAGGAAAGTTAACCAAAGGAAGCAAAGAGGGTATCTGGTAACTTTTCCAAATGCATCCCCTCTTTTTAAAAATCATCACTGGAGGACATGCCTAGAGAGAGGAAGGGGGTGAGGGAGGGGAAAGGGGAGAGGGAAACCTCGGTGTGAGAGGGAAACATCCGTCCCATGCCCTCCGCGTGCTCCCTGAGCGGGGATCCCAGGCACTTGTTCTGACCAGTAATAGATGCAGGTGCATAGACGACGCCCAACCAACCCAACTGGGTCCAAATGTCCCTTTTTTTTTTAAAGAATCTTCTTGTTTTCAAAACAAGATGGCTTGATCATCCAAAAAAATGTTTGGTGTTTTGCAGATGGTATCTTCAATACAGTTTCACGGATCTTGACTATTGCGAGCTTACTGTGGATGGGCTTTGGGCCAGCTTTGAAACCCTAAGACAAGCGAAACGCAACTTCTGCGCAGACACCCTCCCCAGGCAGAAGGGGAGGCCTCCAGGGCCAATGTAACCGCAGAACATAGTGGTTAAGAGCTACGATGGTGGCGCTAATGAGCACAGTGGGATAGGGAGGTGGGTCTGAGGGAGGTACAGGAAGAAAATACCCTCCCACATTGTTAAGCACTAAACTGCTGATTCCCCAAAATACAGAGATGATCACTTCTTAGTAGACTAGACATTAGTTGTTTCTTATGTCTCTACATAGGTCTCTACAGGGAAGATAGCTTGCAGGGGAGGACTTTGCCCTCCAGGGAAATTGGAAAAGGTGAAGCTGGAAGGGTTTCCTTACGAATGAGAACAGGCACCCCGCCTGTTGTGGCACATAGATGCCTTTGTGTGTGGTTGGATGCCTGGATTCCATGCGAGGAACTCTGGGATGAGATAACGAGGGACTGCTGGCATTAAAAGGGGTGTTTTGTGCTAGAGGTTGCTCAAAAAGGGGAGACCTTGGATCTGGAATCTTAGTAGCTAGGATATTTAAGAGGACTGGAGATTTAAAAAGTGGAAGCAAATGGACAGATCAGAAAAGATACAGAAAGAAAAGTCTGAGTTTGGATACCATGGAATCATCTCTATATAAAAATCTTTAAAAATATAGAACATCTCTGAACTGTTTCCCTGACAACTGACTCAAAGTTCCTTGATGGAGAAGGGTTGGCAGTATGTGCTAAAAAATATTATGAATGATGTCAGACATGTTAGGCTAAGTAGGTGAGAGGTGGAAACAGTAGAATGTTCATTCTAAATTCTCTACTAAAACAATGACACCTTCCCTAATTGTTCTACTTCAATGTCACCAGGACATTTTCATCCTATCCCATTTGTTGTGATAAAGCATTAGACATTTTAAAACA